GTTCATAAAACCAGATGCCATTAGTCAGTGTGAGTTTTTAGGCTGTGCAGAGGTGAGGAATTGTTTTTCTGGAATTGTGACCACCTCCTTCATGTATCTTACAATGGCTTATAGGACAGAAGGCTGGAGTGGATCATCTTGTAGCTATGAAACACAATGTAGTAGTACTGTGGTTAGTCAGCTTTTTCTTGTTTTGACAAAATACCTGACATAAACAACTCAAAGATTTATCTTGGTTCCTGGTCCCAGAGGTCTCAGTCCACGTCACATGGCTCCATTGCTTCTAGGGATGCAGGGAGGAAGAAGCACCTTGGCAGAAGGACATTGAAGAGGAAAGCTGCTCACACCATGGCAGCTCAGAAGAGAGAGATGGAAAAGCCAGAGGAGAGGCAGGAACCAGATACCACGCCACTGTCATGCCTGTAGTGTCTGCTCCCTTCAAGTCATCCTCATCTCCCGTTTCCACCACTTCCCAGCATTGCCATTAAATTATGATCTCATCAATAGATTAATGCAATGATTAGGTTAGAGATCACCTGGTCAGTTACGTCTCAAACCCCCACTTCTGGGTGAATTTTTTGGGAGACACCTGAGATCTAAATTGTGAGAAGTATCTAACTTGTCTCATGAAAAATCAAACTGAGGATTGGCGTCATTAGCTCAGAGCTAGAAGAAAAACTCTTGTTAACTCTTACTGTCCTAATACGTTAGCTACTTTGGCACCAGATTTTGATTTTCTGCACACTAAACAATTCTATAGTTTCCTATAGGTAACAGGACTGTGTCCTACAATTTAATTCAAGTCTGATGCTACCTACCTAGAGATAATACAGACTTTCCAGTTGAAAAGCTCAGGATCAAAAGACTGACTCTGCTTCAGACACCAGTCCTGTCTGGTGGGTTTCTAGGTTTCCCACAAATTCTGTCTGACTTGACTGTAAATCAGAGGTTCCTACAACTCCTTCCTCAGACCTGATAATTTGTAGGATGGCTCAAAGAACACAGTTTACTGCCTAGATCACCAGTTTTTGTAAAGGGTAACCACTCCAGAACACCACGTGGAAGAATGTGACACTTCCTTCTTCTCCCTCTTGGGGGCACCACCTCAAGGTGTTCAACACGTGGAAGATCCCTGAACTTTACTTTTTGGGATTTTTAAAGAGGTGATCTTACTGCCATGACTGGTTTAATCATTGGCCACAGGTGATTAAATCAATGTGATGGTTAACCCTGATTGTTAGTTTGAAAGTTTTCACCCACCACTCTCTGCTCTCACTGATCCTTGCAAAACACTTTGTTACTCTGCTCTAAAAACAAAACATTGTGAAAAAACTGGTAATAGAAACACCTTCAAACTTGAATAACTTTTCATCACTAGAACTCTGAACTTACCTAAGATCACAGCAGCTAGAGCAGCGATGAAAGCAGATTACTGAATTAACACAACATACAGTGTATCTATCCATGTATGTCAGCATGTACTTTGCAAAGGCTTTCCTTGAATTTGTTTAGAATGCACCTTTGGAAATTCTTTGCAGTGTATGAAAGAATACTGCTCTTGATTCCTTTTACTTCTTCCATTCGCATCCTTGTGATAGACTGAAAACTCTGCTTGGAACCATCCATGGTGACAAAGTGAAAGTATTCAATGTCTACCTCTATGTATCTAAATAAATATCTATCTAGAGATATCAGTATAGAGGTAGAGCTATAAATACATATGTATGCCCTTAGCTGCAGTGCCATAATTCATGATAGGCATGGAAAAGGAGTAAAATAGAAATGTCTTCTCTCAGAGAACTAAAAATCTACTGGCAGACCCGAGGACTAAGAAAGAAAAATTAATAAATGATTAAGATTATGTTGACTGTGAATAAAACATTCATACTTGGGCCCCTGACTTCTTAAACATATCCAGGTAAATAAAAGGACCCTAGTCATGGCAGGCTGTGAGAAGGCAATCAGTGACCTGCCTTTCTAGAACAACATCCTAGTTAAAATCAATTTTAGAACTCTTCTGGCCTGAATACCAATATATAAGAAGAATTCAAGTGCTAGTGAGGGGACAGACTCTTCATCACTTAAAGAGGAATTAGTTTCAGACAAGTAAATCATCCTGCTTGCTTCTGTGGCCCTGTGTTTTTGAGCACGAGTGGGCCACAGAGAGGGAAGACTTCCGCATGTACCCTGTGCTGTCCTCACTTTAACACCTGACCATGGAATTTGTTTGATCTATAAGATGAATCTCCTTGAAGCTGACCTATATTCACTTCTAATCTCAGGGAGCAAGTTGCCCATCCTATATTAACTATCTAAGAAATTGACTTGAGGGCCATGTAAAAACAATTCTGAACTGTAAGTTACTCAAATTCTTACTTCTGAACACACTTGCACTTCTAACCTATACTACTTTTTTTTCAAGCACAGTCATCTCACCTTCTCATAAAAGTTGTGATTCTATCAATCTGATTGTCTTGAAGTATGTTAAAATCTATCATAAGCTTTTTACAAAAAATCTTGAAAAGTGAATCACTTCCTAATGAACTACTGTGAAGCTTGGACCATGTCAAATTGTCAGAAGTTTCAGACATCTCTGCCAAATTTCATGTCCCAACTGTGCCTCATTAACTTTTGAGAACAGGCTTCTTCCTGTACTGTACAGATTTTTATCCCTTTTTACATCTCTTCTACCAGACCATCAATGCTTTTCAGCCCTGAAATTCTTTTTTGCACTGCCAAGCCCTTAGTGATACCGGTTCACTTTCTGGTTGACACCTGTTAATTTTGACACCTGTTCACTTTCTGGTTAAGCATTCATTGCTCAAAACGATTACATGTGGTAACACACACTTAAAAGCTGCCCAAGACAGTCTGATAACAGAAAAGGATTAAGCGGGACACATAAGCATGGGCAAGTAAAAACAAAGGTAGCTCATGACCCCTGGACCCTCTCCCTCTTTTATGAGGTAAGGGGGCAGGTCCTGGCCTTAAGTCTGCCTCTGCAGTGTTTCCCAGCACAGGAGTTGTTTGATGTGATTTTGGATGAGAAGCAGCTTGAGGACGCTTGTGATCACCTGGCCAACTAACTGGAGGCCTACTGGAAGGCCACCCACCCTCCCAGCAGCATCCTCCCCAGTCCTTTCCTTAGCCACCTCAGCTCTGCCCATCAGTGCCACCCTACTCTCTAATTCACAGGTAAGGGCAGTTCTTTCTTAATCTTCACAGAGAAGCTACAGGTGACACCACTGGGTTCCAAGCCCAGACAGCCAGCTTGGTGCATGCTCCAGTATCTTAATAGTATTGAAAGTATGGCTCACATCATGAATCACTTGGTAACAATATTCACAGTGTGTTGTACATCTAAGAAAGCACAATAAATACAACATATTATGGACTTTTTTTTTTTTGTCCTAGAGATCATACTCACGACTTTCAGTTGTCAAGCAGGCACTTATGCCACTGAGCTAAATCCCTAGCCCGATACTACAGACTTTTAAAACTAACTGTGTGGTCCTTGAGACAGTAAACTGTCTGCATTCAAGGCCTGGATCCACCTGAAACTGCATGTACAATTCAGGTGAACTTACTTCTTGGCTTGCTGGCCTTAAGAACAGTAAGGACACCCTAGCAATAATTACAATCTGTTGTAACTGTCTCATCTTTTGTCTTTTTTTTCCTTGAGATCACCTTATCTCCTAGGTTACTGGATTAAACAGTGTCTGTAAAGGTCCTGGAGGAGTGATGTTCCATGTCAAGTGTCACACATGCATTTTATTTTAGTTGTGGTTTTTGTTAATCTATGTTCAAGCAGAGGTAGGAAAGTTTATGTTCACGTATAGAAAAATCTCTTGCATGTGTATTTCAACAAAAGAATATGTAATAGAGCAGTAACCCTTCTTCACTTATTCTTAATAATAAAATAAACTGATTACTATGTGTACTGTTTCAGGCACTTAATAAAGCCCAACATAACACAATACAAACCGTACTAATGCCACTGGATATTAAAGGAATTAAGCAACTGAGCTACACTAGACTTCATTTCAGCATTTTAGATCCTTTCAAAGGACTACACTTGAATGTCTTTGCACGATGACCACTTAGTTCTTTATACTCTGACCTTGGTTAAGCCCAAGGTCAGCCCAGTTATGTTCCTTTTGTTACCAGGGTTCTCCAGGTGATCAGGTGACTGATTGCTCCACTCCTGATTGGTCAGCTTCCCAACCTGAAGAAGAATCTTGCTTGGGACCTGTCAAAAAATCCCACCTTATTCCTCCTCCTCAGCCCCACATCACAAACATCACAGCAGTATGAGTCAAGGCCTCTCCAGGCAAGAGACATTTGACTCTGAAACTCAGGAGAGTGGAGACTCTGCTTACTTGCAGCCAAAAGATTATTCCTGTGAACACATGGACCACTATGCCCCACATTGTGATCACAACCACCGAGATGAGACCCACGGGAGCAGTGACCACAGACACAGAGAATCTCGACACTGCTCCAGGGACATAGATCGAGAGCAGGACCACAATGAGTGCAACGAACTGCAGAGCCATCACAAATCAAGGATCGCTACTGTGACAAGGATGGAGAAGGAATATCCAAAAAACGGAACGAGGCTGGGGAGTGAAATAGGGATGGTTACGTCCGCCAATGACCTTTGCCTTTTTGTGCTTTTTCCTGAGTCTTGTATAACAGCACACTCAAACAAAACTTTTCAAGTCTACCCTCAGTCATGTGACCCGTCTTGTATATTTTGTATTGCTGTTGCTTCAATAGCAATGGCATGAAATTAAGAGCATTAATTTCCATTTTGATTTTCCTAAGTGCTATACACATTTGCCTGGTGCAGCTGCAGTCCTCTGGTTTTACACTAGACCCTTCAGAAACTGGTTTGGGTAGCTGTTACTTGGGAAAAATCTGCCATCCCAACAATGTTAGTGTTTCAAGAAATATAGGTGTATCCAGCAATCGAGAAGTAACACAGATCAAAAGTGGAATTTGTTTCTCCAGATTTTTAATACTGAGATACCTGATGAGCATATTCATTTATTTATTCATGGACCACTGTTTCTTGCTTGTACCTCTGGCTGACTAAACTAGGAACAGATTCAGTCTTGCCTTACATAAATGGGATCATAAAGTTAGAATCTATTTTCTATGTCCTCGTACGTGTACTGTACAGTTTGTAAATGTTATTTCTGCAAACCTATTACAATATATATTTGATCACAAGATTTTAGTCTTAATGCCAAGTCAGCAGATTTACTTTATGAATTACAGGGACTAGAGATGCCCACATTCAGGAAAATCTGCAATAACATTGCCTAGACATTCTCTCTGCTCCACTAGAAAGCCTGTATATATTGTAAATATGTGTGACTGCTTGATTTGAAAAGTTTCCATTTCTGAACATTGTACCATCCTTGTGTTTATAATTCTAACCATACATTATGTTAATATAACCAAACTCCTCACATTGTTCTATTCCATGCATTTCACACTGATTGTGAGAAATGTGTTCTTAGTAGCTAGTGCCTGATAGTCACAGCACTGGCCCCAGTGTATGCACGTGCATGTGTGTCTGTGCATAAGTGTGTAAGTGGAATGCTGAAGATTAATGAAGAGCTAAGAGACTGAAATCTAGAATTCCGCCCTCCTGGCTTTGTACGTAATTGTGCTGTGTGCTGTTTTGCCAACTTGTTGAGCAGTCAGAGAATGCAAGGGAGCCTTCTGCCACAGGTAACGAGGAAAGTTTATCTGCTGTCTCCTTGTTATTGTGTAACTACAGGTGATTTGTACCATGAGGGTCTCACTGGAAAGGTACAATCTTTGTGTTCAAGTATTTGTTTTAGTAAGAGACGATTACACGCTTATGGAATTGTTTCCTAACTCCTCCCAGCCCCTTCTCTAACCTTGCCTACTGTTCCTGCTGCGCACCCCCCAGTTACCTGCTGTTCCTCCACATCACCAGCTTGACCAGCTTCCCTGTCTGTAAGAACACAGAAGTGCTTCTTCTAACCAACATTTCTGCTCTTCAGGCGGTACCAGGACAAAATGGGGAGACTTAGAGTGAGTCAAATAATATTTTCCAACATCACGCATCTACTCTGAAGGGAAACCTAGAACACCATCTCCATTCCTCAAATAACTGCTTATGGTGTCACCATGTCTTGCTTACTCTGACCGCCCCAGGTTCTTGTCCAATATTCTTGGACTTTTAAAAGTTTCACATTTTTAATGATTTTTCCACACTGAAGACAATAAAATTTAAAAAGTGAGTTATACATAGTGTTTTACAAGCTAATATATGAAAAATTTCTCTTAGAACCAGTTATCTCACTACTGTCTATACGACTACAGAGTATAAAAACAGTCATTAATTTCTGGCAAAATTTTACCTTATCAGAAAACTGTAACCACATTTCAACTAAAATTGCTTTTATATAACATTTTGCGTAAACTCTCACCATAAGATGTTGATCATCAGTCCAACCCTTCTCCTCATGTGTTATTTCCCATCTAAATACAACCAGTATGGATCCTCCTTGCTGCTACCATTAACCCCTTTCAACAGGCCGTGCTAAGAGCCAGGGATACAGCTCAGGGGCACAGCGGCCGCCCGGTAGTGCAAGGTCCTGAGTGTGAGTCCCCGTACCAAAAAACAGAACAAAGCAAAGCAGCCACAGACAGTGCTAATAAGAGTCTGTCTTCTTAATTTTGTGCCTGATTCTTAAGTTTCTCACATTACTGCAGACGTGTTAGTGCAAACCAGACTATTCACCAAATAACTCCATGAGGGATTTGATACAGAACATTTACGCCAGCATGTGAAGACTACCAGTGGGTCAGTGTGTAAACAGGACGTAGTGAAGCCACAAAAGAAGAAATGACCCCAAGCATATGTGGAATGACACACAGTCTTCACAGGGCAAAGGCTTACTCTTCAGATACTCCTTTGTAGAAGTGTACTTAATCGTTTGTCAAAACCACTGCAGTTCTTCCTACGTTCTTTCTCTATTTCTCTTTTAACTTGATGTTAGAAAGAGGTGCTGCTAAATGTAGGATGCCTTAGTCATACTGTACTTGGGGATAACATTATGAGAGCCTGGTACGCATTCCTGCTAAACATTCACTGTCAGCTACAGTGAGCTGTTTAACAAACCTGGTTTCAAGTCACTAACGTAAAATGAATAAAGAGCCTTCTGTACTGTTTATTAGTAGTATTAATTCTCAAGGAGTGACCTTTAGATTCAGAATGTGATATATTTCCCAGCACCTACCACTGGTGGTTCATCTCACGTATAACCAGCTGATGTTCCTTCAGTAATCTTCTCATAGCTGACTTAAAAAAACGGAACTCAAGGAAAACAAAAGATTTTTGGCAAAGGAGGAGCTGGGCAGATCTGGGGTGCCCTCACTGGCCTCTCTGCGTGTCTGGAGGACTCTGGATTTCTGCGCCCAGACTGCTGGAGTTCCCTCAGGCTTCCAGGTGCAGTGAAGGAGAGAGGTGGGTTTGAGGCTTCCACATCAGCCTCCCCATTGCCGGCTTCATTTGGAGACCTGCTGAGCTCCCGATAGGTGGGCTGGCCCACACTACCAGCCTAGCCCAGCCTGTTTAGCTGCCGCGCCTGGCCATAGGTCTGCAGAGGAGGAGCTGGGCAGATCTGGGGTGCCCTCACTGGCCTCTCTGCGTGTCTGGAGGACTGTGGATATCTCTGCAACCAGGGAGGGTCCACAGGTTCCTGAAGCACTGCGGCCTGTGGTGAGTACCCTAACCCGGCTGCGATTGAAGAACTGTGGAGCTTCCAGGGGCAGGTGGGCGCACAGTGTCCCTGAGGCCCAGCTTGTCTGGAACTGCGGAGTTCTGAGCAGGCAGAGGAGGGCCACTGGTTCTGTAGGCCTAATGGCTTGGAGTAGCGCGGCGCCAGAGTCCCAGTAGCTCCAAACATAGAAGGGGATTTTCAACAGATCCTGAGGAAGCTTTCAAATAACACTTGAAACACAGAAATATAGGAAAATGACAAAACGAAAGACCAAATTACAACCTCAAACCTCCAGCCCATCTCAAGAAACCCTAGGAGCGATGTATATAGAAGAAAATATATCCCATCCACCTCATATATCGGACACAATAGCCACTGAAATTGACAAGCAACTCCAGGAAGCTTTAAAGAAATTCAAACTCGAAATAATCTCCCAGATAAAAGAAGAAATGATAAAAGAAATGAAAGAGATTCTAAATATATCTAAAGAAAACACAGATAAAAAATTGGAGGAACTAAACAAAAAGATAGAATCCCTAGACGAGCAATATAAGAAACAAACAGAATACATAATGCAGATGCACAGAGATATACAGGAAATAAAAAACTCCACTGAAAGTTGTAAAAACCGCCTTAATGAAAGTGAAGATAGAATTTCAGACCTTGAAGACAGGATTGCAGCTAGTGAACAGGAAAGGAAAGATCTTTTGAAAATAACAAGGAACCAGGAAACAACAATTCAACAACTGCAAGACGATGCAAAGAAGAATAACATAAGAATGATAGGGATTAATGAAAGAGAGGGAGACAACATGAAGGATGTCAGGAGGATATTTAGAGAAGTAATAGCTGAAAATTTCCCAAGCATGAGATCAGAAACTGACATCAGGATCAGTGAAGCATATAGAACGCCAAACAGTCATAACCAAAATAAAACTACACCCAGACATATAATAGTCACCATCCCAGAAATCCAACACAAGAATAGATTATTAAAAGCTGTCAGAGAGAAAAGACAAATCACTTATAAAGGAAAACCTATCAGAATCACAGCAGACTTCTCAGCACAAACGATAAAGTCAAGAAGAACATGGAGTGAAGTATTCCAGATCCTAAAGCAAAATGATTTCCAACCAAGACTGATATATCCTGCAAAACTATCATTCAAAATAGATGGTGCAATACGATACTTCCATGACAAAGAACAGCTGAAGAACTTCATGAACACCAAACCAACCCTGCAAAAAATATTGAAAGACAGTTTAGATACACAAAGGAAAAAACCACTAAGCAAAGCAAATAATTAAACAGAACCGAAAGATAAAGATGCAACAGCAGAGAGATAACATTCCTACAATTAACCAGCACTTAACAGTAATAACCATTAATGTAAATGGTCTCGATGCACCAATCAAAAGAAACAGACTAGCAGAATGGATCAAGAAACAAAATCCAACCATATGCTGTTTACAGGAAACCCATCTAACCCAGAAAGATACTCACAGACTGAAAGTCAAAGGATGGAAAACAATTCTTCATGCAGCAGGAATCCAAAAAAAGGCAGGAGTAGCCATTCTGTTTGCAGACAACGTGAACTTTAAACCAACAATGACCATAAAGGACAAAGAAGGTCACTACATACTCGTAAGGGGAAAACTCCAAGAGGAAGAGATAACTATCTTAAATATATACGCACCAAACTCCAGAGCACCCAGTTATATAAAACAATTATTAACAGAAATGAAAACTCAAATTATCAGTAACACAATTGTAACAGGAGACCTTAATACACCACTGACACCAAGGGACAGATCAACCAGACAGAAAATGAGCAAAGAAATAACAGAACTGAATCACACCTGTGAACAAATGGGTTTGATAGACATATACAGAATGTTCCACCCAACAACATCAGAATACACATTCTTCTCAGCAGTACATGGATCATTTTCTAAAATAGACCATATATTAGCTCACAGAACATATTTAAGCAAATGCAAAAGAGTTGAAATCATCCCTTGCATATTATCGGATCATAGCGCTCTGAAATTAGAAATTAATGACAAAGGATACTGCAAAAATTCCGCAAACACATGGAAACTAAATAACACACTCTTGAGTAATCAGTGGGTCACAGAAGAAATTAAAGAAGAAATTAAACAATACCTAAAAGAAAATGAAAATGCAGATACAACTTACCGGAATCTGTGGGATGCAATGAAAGCCGTTCTGAGAGGAAAATTTATTGCACTGAGTTCCCACATCAGGAAAACAGAACGAATACAAATAAATAACTTGATGCTACACCTCAAACAGCTAGAAAAAGAAGAGCAAGTCAAGCCCAAAGCCAAAAGAAGAGAGGAAATTATAAAAATCAGAGCAGAAATCAATGCAATAGAGACTAAGAAAACAATCCAAAGAATCAACGAATCAAAGAGTTGGTTCTTTGAAAGAATAAATAAAATCGATAAGCCCCTAGCCAACCTTATTTAAAAAAAGGAAAGAAAAAGCTCAAATTCATGCAATAAGAAATGAAAAAGGAGAAATCACTACAGACCCAATAGAAATACAGAGGATCATCAACACCTATTTCGAAAACCTCTACTCTCAAAAGTTTGATAACACAGAAGAAATAGACAGATTCTTAGAAGCATATGAAGTACCAAAGCTAGATCAAGAGGATATAAAACTGTTGAATAACCCAATCTCTGCTAATGAAATTGAGAATGTAATTGGGTCCTTGCCCACCAAGAAGAGCCCAGGCCCAGATGGATTCACTGCAGAATTCTACAAGAAATATAAAGAAGACCTAATGCCGACACTCCTCAAACTATTCAATGAAATTGAAAGGGAAGCAATCCTTCCTAAGTCATTCCTGGAAGCAAATATTACTCTAGTACCAAAACCTGAGAAAGACCCAACTATAAAAGAGAACTATAGACCGATCTCCCTAATGAACACAGATGCAAAAATCCTCAATAAAATATTGGCAAATAGGATCCAGCAAATCATCAAGAAGATTATACACCATGACCAGGTGGGATTCATCCCAGGAATGCAAGGATGGTTCAACATACGCAAATCAATAAATGTAATCCACCATATCAATAAAGCCAAAAATAAGAATCACATGATCATCTCTATAGATGCAGAAAAAGCCTTCGATAAGGTCCAACACTTATTCATGATAAGAACTTTACAGAAAATTGGAATAAATGGTCTTTACCTCAATATAATAAAGGCCATTTATGACAAACCAACAGCCAGCATCATACTAAATGGCCAAAAATTGAAAGCCTTTACTTTAAAATCGGGTACAAGACAAGGATGTCCTTTATCACCACTCCTATTTAATATAGTACTGGAAGTACTAGCCAGAGCAATTAGGCAAGAAAGAGAAATAAAAGGGGTAAAGATAGGAAAAGAAGAAGTTAAATTATCATTGTTTGCAGATGACATGATACTCTACATAGAAGACCCCCTAAACTCCATTGAAATACTCTTAGATACAATAAATAAATTCAGTAATGTGGCTGGATACAAAATCAATACTCAGAAATCAATAGCATTCCTATACACGAACAACAAAATTACAGAGAGGGAAATAAGAGAAACTGGACTATTCACATTAGCAAGCAAAAAAATGAAATATTTAGGAATTACTCTTACGAAAGAAGTGAAAGACTTATACAGTGAAAATTATATTACACTGAAAAAGGAAATTGAAGATGACCTCAGAAAATGGAAAGACATCCCTTGCTCATGGATAGGAAGAACAAACATTGTGAAAATGGCCATTCTCCCAAAACTGTTATACAGATTCAATGCAATCCCAATAGAAATACCATCAACATACCTTATAGATCTAGAGAAATCACTCCTAAATTTCATCTGGAACCAGAAGAGACCTAGAATCGCAAAGGCAATTCTAAGCAGCAAAGACAAAGCAGGAGGCATCACAATCCCTGACTTGAAGTTATACTACAAAGCAACAGTAGTAAAATCAACATGGTATTGGAATCAAAACAGAGCTGAAGATCAGTGGAATAGATTAGAAGATACAACCACAACTACGAACACACTCAACCACCTTATTTTTGATAAAGGAGCCAAGCAGGTTCACTGGAAGAACGACAGTCTCTTTAATAAATGGTGCTGGAAAAACTGGCTCTCCATTTGCCGAAAACTAAAGCTAGACCCATGTCTATCACCATGTACTAAATTAAAATCTAAATGGGTCAAGGATCTGAATATTAAAACAGAAACACTAAATCTATTGGAAGACAAAATAGGTAGAAACCTTGGAGACATAGGAGTAGGTAAAGAATTCATGAACAGGACTCAAACCGCACGGGAAATACTTCCCAGAATCAATAACTGGGACCACTTCTTATTAAAAAGTTTCTGCATATCAAAAGAAATCTCCAGCATAGTGAAAAGAAAACCCACAAACTGGGAAAAGATTTTAATGAACTCTCTCTCAGACAAGGGCCTCTTGTCTAAAACATATAAAGAATTAAAGAAACTCAGACCTCCGAAATTCAAAGATCCAATCCAAAAATGGGCATCTGAGATGAATATGCAATTCTCAGATGAAGAAATGCAAATGGCAAATAAATACATGAAAAAATGCTCATCGTCATTGGTCATTAGAGAAATGCAAATTAAAACCACACTGAGATACCATCTCACTCCTGAAAGAATGGCCAGGATCAAGAAAACCGACAACAAATGCTGGAGAGGCTGTGGGGAAAAAGGAACTCTCCTGCACTGCTGGTGGGAGTGTAGACTGGTACAGCCTTTGTGGAGATCTGTCTGGAGATTTCTCAAAAAGTTGGGACAGGAAATCCCATTTATTCCAGCTATTCCACTTCTAGGCATATTCCCAGAAGAACTGAAAGCATCATACCACAGTGATATATGTGCACCTATGTTTATAGCAGCACAATTTGTAATCGCCAGATCTTGGAAACAACCCAAGTGCCCATCAACTGAGGAATGGATAAAAAAAGTTGTGGTATTTCTATACAATGGAGTATTATTCAGCTATAAAGAAGGATCACATTGAGATATTTATCAATAAATGGGCGCAGCTTGAGACCATACTCATAAGTGAAATAAATCAATCTCGCATGTGTGAATACCGAATAGTTTCCCTAATGTAAGTAATGATTCAAATATATAAAAATATGTGGTAATCATGATTCCCCATTAGGTGGCCTTGAAGCCTTATAAAGTTTTCACTCATTAATTAGAAAGGCTTTATTCTGGGCTTCTTGATATGAAAATATTTGAAGCTAGAGTATATGAAGTTTTACCCAAATATTTCAAGGAAAAAGACACTATGGTAACTACTATTAAGTCAGGTTATATAGTGGTGAAGTACTAGGTTATTGAAACAGTCATGCTGTGACCTCTATTGTTATATTGTTATGTCCTGTTTTATCTCAATCTCCCCCTTATTGTTTCAAAAAAAAATTATTTAGTCATTTCTTATGTTTGTCTTAACTAAAGAAAAAATTCAAAAAAATTAGGATATATAAATAGTAACTCTTTTCGATTTCCTGTTAACTTGTTTTGAAGTCCTGTAGTACTCCCACGATCTTGTTTTGACTGATTAGACTCTGTTCCATTCTATATGATAGTATCAAGTTTGAAGACATAGGCAACTACTTTGAAGACAATAAGATTCACTAAGATACCCATTCTGGTTTGACTATTGTCTTCTTTGGAAGTCCTGTAATGTTTACAATGCCTAAGTTTTATTGGTCTTGTTCTCTACTGTTTTGTCCAACTTTATAATATCTAATAAGATAGACAATTCTTTTTAAGGAAACAAGGGACAACGTTGATAACCATTGTTGATAAATTTGTACTCTGTTCTACACCATGTGCTATGTCTATCCTTGGTATTGACTGACAGCTTTGTTTTGCCATATTTGACTGTATTCTTCCCCCCCCCCCCAGAAAGTAATAAGCACTAAGGAGTAATAAAATCCAAGATGTGTAAATTTTGTTGTAAAAAAGAGAGGGAAAAAAAAAAAAAGAAAAAGAGCTCTAACGGATATAACAGCAAGTGTGTTTGGGGGTGTTAAATAGCTGACTTTATCAATGTTTTTGGAACATTGAACACAGCTGTTTGCAGTCTCCCTGTTTGAATGTCCACCTTGTGTTCTTTGATACTGTGATTTGAGGAACTATTTTCAAGAAAATAGTGTGTAATCTACTAGCAGGTAATTTCTTACTGTTATGGTTTTTTGTTTTGTTTTGTAGTTCTGTATTGCGTGTACCCTTACGCCGCTTTGGTTTGTTTTGTGTTTTTCTCTTTTTCCTCTTAAATAAAAAAAATAAAAAAAAAAAAAAAAAAAGATATGCTTCTTCCACTGGTTGGAGAAGTAAAAATAGAATCCTCAGGACAAACTACAGGAATAATTTTGATGCATTTTATGGATTCCAGTATGACCTTCTCACTGTTTTCTCCTGACTAAATTATGCACTGGAAGTTTTGAAGGAGGGGAGTTTGTTCCCACTATGTTTCACCTGCCATCAGTCTCTTAAGTGTCTTTGTTGGAACTGCCATCTTTCTGTCTTTCTTAACAAACCATTGTGGGTGCCCACTTCAATCCCAGCACTTGCCTGGCCCACCAGGATAGCAACTCCCCCATGTACAGCAGCCCAGTCAAGCAAAGGGTCCAGACAGGAGGATCTCTCTCTTCCCACTCAGCTCCGTGTGTTATCAATTCATGGTTCTGAGGAGACAGAACAGTAGGTGTCTCAGATTAGAAACAGAAACAATTTTGGAAACAAAGTACGGTCACCTAGATTGACTTTCATTCAGAGAGGAGGCAATCCTGAGCTCAGAAAATGTGTAACGGTAGCATATCACTAAACAACTTGGCTACTTGCTATAACAGACCTAGGAAGTAATCTAGAAGGAAAAAAGGAGCAACAGTCCACATTAAGATTATTCCCATATTAACAAAAGCTAATGTTGAATCTTGTGTATTTAAAGGATGGATTTACTTCAAACACAACATATATCTAGGAAGCTGTGGTTGGCAAGGCAGTTAGCAGCTAGCGTTTGTCAATTTGAGGATGAAAAGTTTATTGACATATATTTATTATTATGTTTGTGTGGGTTGTAAAAAATTGTGTGGGTATGTGTGTCCACACATGCTCATGTGCTTATATTCTAAGTAATATTTCATTTTAGATGATTCCAGTCTCATCTTGGCTAACATAAGGGGTAAGTGAATTGTCCTTGAAGTATTAGAAGGAAAGGTCTCAAAAACACACCAGAGGAAGCACTCAGTAGAAAGTTTTAGAAGTTATAACTTATCTTTCTCCCTACTGCCTTGTGCCTCTAGTCACCACTTCCATTAAAGTTTCCAGAAAAAGAACTAAACAGCTTTTAAAACATAGTCTCCAGGAAGTTTAGAGGAATCAGATGATTGAATAAGCACTCCCTGGAGGAAGCCATTACTAGTATTTGTTCTCCTAAGTAACACGAAATTCAGACAAACAGGAAGGTAAAAATGCTAATTGCAAAAAATAATGAAACAAAAAAACCTGTGAATACCATAAAACAGGTAAGTTGATTGACGCTTCAAACCAAAACAGAGTGATGATACACTGCTATAATACCAATTATCTAAGAGAGTGAGACAGGAGGATCACAAGTTCATGGCCAGCATGAGCAACTTAGTTAGCAAAACCCTGACTCAGTAGATAAAGAAGACTGAATATATAACTCTGGTGCAGCACGTGCCTAGCATGCATGATGCCCTAGGTTCAATCTCCAGTACTTTAAAAAAAAAAAAAAAAAGGGAAGAAGAGCCACATTAATACATTGATACAATCTGCCATAATGTAGAATAACACAGCTGGGCTTATCCAGCAGGTCATGCTGCAAAGAAACCAGAATCCACTTATCCTAGTATCTAGTTCAGAGCTTGTTTCCATCACACCTCTGTCTTTCTTCTTCACAGAATGATGATGGATTATAGGTGATTGTTATAGCTGGAAATAATGTGGTTCCTTATGTTAGGGTTCAGAAATCTAATGTCTAAAGAAATTAGATACTGCTTTCTAAGACAACAGCCAAATACTGACCAGGTTAGAGCCATAAATTATATATGATTTTCAAAGCAGCACTTATTCCAGTTTCTGTAATCCTCACTAATAAACATCAGCAATCACAAAATCAATAATGGAGAGTTTGCATTTTTGAGTTTGGTTTCTTTCTGACAATTTTGTATGATTTTCTTAGAATGGACCTTGAAGCTTAAACTTTAACCTATGTTTTTCTTATACTGTAATTGGAGTTTGTGCTACTGAGAAGTACAATCACTGGTCAAAAAATCTTTTGCTTATCTGTTTCTTAAAGCTTTTCATATTATATGTGTATGACACAGACTGTAAAGATAACTAAGTTTAAAATGACTAATACTTGTAATTTTTGACATATAATCATCTAAGATTGGATATAAATGGTGTGTTGCCATACCCGGTATGGAACTGTGGCCATTTCTGCTTTTTCATTAAAGAAAGAAGCTTTACTGCCCACTTGTTCTGCTGTTTAGTTTTAAAAGACAGAAATTATTACTTTGTGATATGTGACTCTTACTCAACTTCTGTATAAAATAAGGCAGGATGCATTAGTTTGCCGATGATCGTAAATTTTTAACACTTTTTGTCAAACTTGCATCTGAGATGTATGGAGTTAAGATTCTGTGTTGCTTGTCCTTACACCTTGTCGTTTTCTGTGACTTCCTCAGCAAACAGAATATAGCAGAAGTAATGCTACAATAGTACAATTGGGCCCACATCTCAAAAAAACGCAGTGTCCACTCTGTAGGAACATTCTGCCTGACAGCTCAGAACTGCCATGAAAGAAATGCGGCTGATGTTGAGATAAGCATACCGAGAGCACATGGAATCACTCTGATCAGAACCCTGCCTGAGAACAGCCCCAAGCTGTCCCACCAAGTACCAAGTACCACATCCCAGCACTTGAAATGCTAAGGCAGGAGGATCATTGTGAATTTGAGACCAGCCTAGGCTAAAAGTGAGCTCAAGGCCACCCTCAACTGCATAGAGAGATCATGTCTCAAGAAGACAAAAAAAAAAAAAAAAAAAAAAAAAAAGCAGGTAATAGCAGCACCAAGGGATATGACTCCTTAAAATCACCAGTATTCAAGGTATCAGTATGACTCGTCACAAGAGTACCATCTTTAGATTAGGAAGAATTTAGACATGTTTAATCAACCAGTGGGGTTTAGTCTGTTTACATGGTGGGGGCCATTGTGTGGCCTCCTGGATACAGAGCTGTGTGTGCGTCAGGAACCCAGGCATGTCCAGAGGGCAATAGATGCTCCAACAGGCATCTTTTGACCAAGGATCACATAGTCATTGGAGGTAACTGATACCAGGAGTGAAAGTACAAATTTGACCCAGTAACAAAGCTGTAGTCCTTGGAGGGCATCAGAGCTTTTGATACAAGTGTTTCTTAGCAGTTAATGAAAGCCATGCAAACCAGCTCAACAAATAGGGTACACCACTGTGTTCTAATTAAGACTGGGGTTATTAATGAAAGCTATGCAAGTTGCTTCACTCAGCCTTTAAAATAAACTAGCAACACTTCTGCTCTACTGTAATCAGCACAGAGTACAAGGGAAAGATGCTCTGTTGGGACTTTTCACAGGACTCCTGGGTGGATGGATGGCACCCAGAGGATCAGCAGCACAGGGTATGATACCTGGTGATGCAACTGGAGAGGCCACTTTGCCGCTGAGCAGTGCTGAGCCTGGCCTGCAAAAAAGTAGCCTATACCTGAAAAAAGCAGGAAAAGTCCCCAGAGTGAGTAATGGGGTTCTAGCACAGCAAAGTGGGAAGGAGACTAAACCTAAGTGAGAGCCTAGTGATCATGGTGTCCAGCAGACTTCTCTGTGAGCACTTGTAGAGGCACATATATAGACTAAGCTGAAAGAAATCCTACCTCAGCGTGTGATAACTGAATCAGCATAATTCTGGTTACTGATGTTGTGCTGTTTGTATTACCCATAAATAGTATGGGGTGACCTGTAGGGCCTCAGGAAGCACCAATCATATCACATTCCATGCAAATACCTGCACCCCAGAGCATATGATCAGAACATGAATCATGCCCCCTGGAGCTGTGCTATGGGGATATGTGGATGAGAAGCCTGGGAAAACCTTAAAGGCACTTGATTATAGCGCAAATGGATCATCGTCTGTGACGCTAGCTAGGTAAACATGATTTTAGCACAGACAGAAAATTGTGTAAAATACAAAGCTGTCCCTCACTCACAGTTTATGATCTGGATCCTAATTTAGCCTGCAAAACTTTGCCTTTCTGAATACTTTCACAGAAGATTGTATTCACATAAAAATGCACTGAGCAAATCTGTACCATTGTATCATGTTTCTATAAATATTACACTTATTTATTAGTTTTTTGATATTTTACACATTAGTCAATGAAAGACTTTTTTAAAAAGTGTTTAGTATTAATACATGTAAACCACAAATAGGGAAATATAAATTTTATCAGATACTGGTGATACAGGGAGAATGAAACTCCTGACCTACTATATGTCTAGTATGAGCTGTGTTCTCTAAAACTAAAGAATGAATTTTAGGCACAACAGAGGTTAAGAATGGAATATATTTACTGAGAGAAAGCAAGCTTCTGTTTCAGAGACAAAAAGGAGTCTCAAGTGGGTTGCCAGGGACTGTCTTTTTCTAGGGACTTTTATAGAGTAAAATCATGAGGTTAAATGGGTCAAAGCTAGGGGAAAATAGGAATTCAAAGGTGGGCACAAGGTGGGACAGAACTGTGGTCAACCAGTAAGATTAACTGCTCAAGTAAAATTGATTAAATTAGGAACAAATCGGGGAGCAAGTGATGTAGTAAGTGAGGCCATGCTTAACAGCAGTGACTCTTCCTATAGTGGGGTGTGATGCTAACTCTTGACTTCCTCAAAGTGATAGAGACTTATTTGGACAGTTGATCCTTGGGATATGGTTGTATTTGCTTTGCCTTTTGTCTTGAGATCTGGCCCAGAGCAGGTGATTGTCTCTTCCAAGGCTGCAAGATATCTGAACTTCTGTTCTGGCTCCTTTGAGTAGCCCTCTCTGACTGCCTATATTTCTAACAGCTGCCTGTAACACTAGGACCACATTATGGATTCTGAAAGTCAATAGCAGATTCCATAATTTCTGTAATTTTAATGTTTCCTATTAGGTTCTAGAAATCATTCTACTGATAGCATCACCCATTTTTAGATACACTGAAATGACAATATCTGTTTTAAAAATATTTTCTTGGAATTTTTATTTAAGTCATTAAAAACCATTACATTTGATTTTATAGTATAAAATACCATGAATCTAACATGTTCTTCAATTAGGGAAGGAAAAAACATATTTTACTAACAAAGTAAAAGAATTCCTGAAAAATTCTGGATGTATGCTTTTTTTCTTAAAGGTGTTAATCTATTTAAAAATTATTTCAGAAAGAAATGCATACAAGCCATTTTCAAAAAATCAGCTAACCTTCATTATAAAGATTACAAGAAATATTATAGTTTTGTCCTTTTTTTTTCCAAAATAAGAGGCCTAGGATTTGACTGGATTAATGTTTACTATTGTTGCCATAAGAAAAGACACATTTGCAATGTAATTATATTTACTATTGAATTTTGCAGTATCCCTCAGGAGGCAAAAC